TGGAAGATGTACCAGTATGCCTATTATGTGTTTTCTCGGTACATAATATTTAAATATTTTTTAACTTCTGAAAATCCAGAGAGAGCCTACTTGGATGCTGTTTCTCAGATTTACGGATGAGATTAAATGAGATTACGTGGCACATTAGCAACACAGGAATTGTTAAGTAAGCAGCGCATGAAGAGTTTCATATGACAGTATATTGGTGCAATGTGCATGTCTATAGACAACGGTTACCAATCACATCTAGTAATCTATTAGTTTGATTTCGATTCTATGTTGTATTAAAACAATCCTTGACAATTCTGTTCGGCGAAAAGTTAGTACCTTTGTACGTTACTGAACAATCTTATTTAAATTATATTTTCTATAGCTTACAGGTGACGAAGGGTCGATGTAACATATATTCAGAATACGTAATCAAACATAGTTTGAAGGTTACATTCTAAGAAATATCGCATATTGTTTATTTGTAAAACTTGAAAATAATTAAATTATAAAAATAAATTTTATAAGTCACTACTATTCCTTTTGCAAAGTTTTATTCATTTTCTTGGTAAATAAAATTATTAAGTCATAATCATTAGTCCAATTAACTCTGTAGTTGTAATATTCATTTACAGGAATTATAATTATTTCTGATTTCTAGTAACTTTATTTAAGTAATTAACCAAAAATATTACAAATTCTGAGAAAAGATTTCCAATCGAATGAAGAAAGTGCAAAGTGGAAAGTTTGTTTTAATTTCGTTATTGTCTGTCTTTAATCTATTGTAGCTACATTTCCAACAGTGTCAATTATATTATATTCTTTCAACTTTATAATAATCGACAAGGCGGTGTTTAATAATACCAGGATACATATAGAATATTTTTTTTATGCATTGACACAATTCTTTAAGGAAATTATCCGTGCAAACTTCTTGAGACGGTCCCTCGCCTGTTTGTCAAAAAGTTGGCCACAGCATCGTTAGGCCGCTCTTAACGTCACTGATTAGTTTTTATGTACGCATTCAGACCAACTTTCGAAGTTTATGGGGAAAACAAAAAGTCAAGAGCGTGATTAAAAATTATTTCCTCCAGGGTGAATGTAATTCAATGCTTTACTATTAAGGGTTAATTTACTTTAAAATTGGCTTGCTTTTATATCCTTTGAAAAGTAACGTGCTAAATGTAAAGTATGCTTTCCATTTTATTTAAGATATCTATGTAAGAAAAATTATTTTGTTGTATTTTTTTTTTTGATATAACATAATACTCTTTGTGTTGTTTGATTATAAGATAACTTAATTTAAATTTAATAATCAATATTGATTTTTCATATTACCCCCACACATGTATATATAAATATTATAGAAAAGTTTCATTACTAAATTGTCGGTATAAGTCACGTAATTCACCAATATTTTGAAGTTAAAGTAGATAACTTTGCTAGTAATTTCGTATTAGTTTCACGTTTTCCCCGATTTATGTCACCAACTCGTTACACAAGCTGAAATAAGTGAACTCCGTCGTAGTTCAGATACCGCGAATAGGACAGTGAGTATCTATAGTTATTCTCTAGAAAACAATACATTCAACGTTACACCCTAAGCTAAAGGTTCAGAATAGCTTAGCAAAATTATAAGTGTCTGCATGTTTTCGAATAAACCAGCCGGACATTCCGGCCCGTGGGTTCTAATTTATCATTGTTAGAGCGCGTCTCAAACGAAAGCAATTTCCGTTTAGATTTCTTTTTTCAATACATCTTTTCTAGGGGAGCGCAGATTAGAGCTCATCTGACATCGTCCAATTAGGATTTTGCTATGGGAACTTTCGTTGTGTTTTCACGAAACCCAGGTATATTAAATGCATAGCTGTACCTACTGATTTTCTTATATACACAATTATATTTACGTTTCTCCTAACCATTCATATGGTATACTATAAAGCGAGTTGAAATAGGATTTCTATTAATTTAACAGAAAAAGAAAACACAACTGGAAGTCTATCATAAATATTGCTCAACTCAATTACCCACAAACAGAATAAATGTTGTTTTTCTCTAACAATTTTCTTTACTCATATCTGTTTATGATTAACTACTCGTACATAATATATAAATTAAAAATTTGTACTTTAAAGAAAGGTTCCGTCTCTTTCTCAATATCTTCGAATAAAGCGAGAACATCATAACAGGAAAACATATTAAACACGAGGAAAATCATATATTTATTACTGATCAATGTGACTCTACCACACTCGGTAAATATATTTATTGCACTACAGAAACTGTTATCTAATTTATATAGTTCTGAACACTTGTTTGGTCAGTAGAGAAAGAAATAACAGTTACGAAGATATAACATACATCAATAATATAATTAGTACATATATCAATAATTAGTCCCTAATCATACATCTTAAACACGTATACGCACTTTCTGTTTTTAATATTTTTAGTTTAGAGTATTTTACAACAGATTTATGGTAAATTTTAATCGAACTATTTTTGTATTAGGCAGTTATTTAGGTTATTATTAAGTTTATTAATTTAATTATTTCAATTTAGTGTATCTAAATATAAATGAATAAGATGAACTCATATAAAATTATAATGAGATCTTGTACTTATTAAGAGAAAAAAAATCTATTTTATATTTATTTCTAGGGTATTGTAGATTAAATATTACGTACAGTAAACTGAAAATCTTACATCATCATATAATAACACAACATAATGAGAAACATTTATTTTCACCTAGTTAGTTTAGATGTAATACAATGTACAACATAATATATGATGCTTCAACAAAAATGGCAAGAGTTTCTTAATAAATTTTCGCCGCAGTCATAAAAGAGATACATTTACGCACAAATATTGCAAGCGCAAAATGCACAATAGCAGTTACTTTAGCTATAGCAGGCATAAAAAGGAATGAGGCAGAGCTTCTGGTATCTTGTTGTCTTCAAAGTGTCTGGTAAACTAATTTTGTTTTTTAAGCTAAAAAGTAAAGATTTTTTACATCATTTTTGCGAAGTAAATTGAGTTATTGAAATGTTTTCCACTCTCTCGAGCAAACCTTTTTTACCTAGACCACATTGAAATCTAGCTGATGCCTTTGAACCCCCAGCTGCTATATTTCTAGCATATTCCCAAATATTTGTATCATCAGATCAGATATTGATATCATCACTGCTTTATTCTTAAGTTTACAGTTTATTTTCTGTACTATTAAAGTCTGTTCAGGTTTTTTTTTATAGATTATTATGGAATGGTGCACCCGCCTGCGCTAACGGTTTACGCTGACGGGGCACTAGGGAAGGATGATAAGACGAGCATTAGGTCAGTTCAGTTAGCCCATCATGACAAATTCACTAAGAATTTCCTACTATGATTTCCAGGAGGAACCGCGTGGAGGTCAACCTGACATGGCACATTACTAGCAATAAGATCATCAGTCCACATTACCAACATTCCCCTTTCCCCTGGCTGTTTAAGTTTTTCTTTTTCATTTTCGTCCAATGCTTACAACCGTTAGAGAAAATAGGTATTATAAATAAAACCACAGGCATAAACTTAGACAAAAATATATTCGAACACTATTTCTGGGTCACAAGAGACACAGGTTAGTAAGTAAAGATTTTTAAACAATGGGTTTATACATTAATTATCACTCAAACTTCTAAGTGCCTAACTAGGTGCTGTAGCTTGTGAATATTGAAATAGAAATAGATTTTATATTTTTATATGAAATCGATAATACCTAATATTAATGCCAGTTTTCCTCTACTTATACTGCTTTCTGACTACGATTATATAATAAAAATACTTAAATGGGTCTTTGGTGATCTTTACGATTTTTTATATAACTTTACTGATGCTGTCCGCAAAATGAATCATTCCTTATTCAACAAACCAAACTTAATGCCGAAAATTGTAGATACTTGAATAAATAAAAAAAAAACATAGCTTCTTATTATTCTTATAATTTCAGAATGTAATACTGGGAGTATTACATTCTGAAGAGTAGGGTGAAATCGTAACTAAATTAAGAGTTGGTTACAATATCATACACACGTTGCAAAATAATATGAAAGTTTCTAAAAATAACACTCTACTTGTATTAAACTTTGGAATAAGAAAACAATTCGAAGTTATACCTGTTTTCATTATATTCGTATTTAATCATTTATGGAGTAAATGTTATGTGCCGAGAAGTACAGTTATTACTGTATATATTATATAAAATTGGTAGGTAATTTGTTTCTCTAACTTTTACTTCTATGATAATATTTTCATAATATCTTTATTCATTTTCTTATAGTACTAATAAATATGATATTTGTAATGATTTAAATAATAGCTAATGTTAATTATGTTTAAGTGGATGGAGAATTATTTTATTTATTTATTAACTAAATAGGTATGTAATACAAGGATTGTACTTGACGGAGTAATTGTTATTATTATTTAAATAAATTAAAGTAAATATGTAAATATTATTAATTAACATCAGAAATAAATTCGACGATAGATTTGCGGTATATTAAGACGATGTTGTGTTACTATACATTGATATGATGATTACTATGATATTGATGATATAATTGTATTGTGTTGGAGTCTATTTCTGCGTTTGACCTCTCATTTGGGCAATTGTGTGATAACGCATAGTAATTAATTATTAATATTAGTGAAAGTCATTCTTAATTAAAATATTAACCGACAATGGTAAAGTTGTTTAGACATTTATTTTTAATTGTCTACTATTATGAATACTTTATTTTACATTCATTTATAATTATGCTACACTTTTGTTTATAAATCCATACTTTATTATAGGTTATGTATATAGCATTGTATATAGCAACATATGTGTATTTAACATTTTTTATAATGTCGTATTTAAATATATTGATATTCATATTTCATACAAGAATAGTAGAAGAATAAGTATGATATTTGGCCTTTTTACATTGTAGATCAAGCAATTTGAATTTGTTTTTGTATTGTTTCAGTGACTAAGTTCATACGTATCGGCATAGCTGACAAGAATGACAACCCGCCGTACTTCGACAAGGAGTTGTACGAGGCTGAAGTCGACGAAAATGAGGACATTCAACACACAGTCCTCACTGTCACCGCCAAAGACCACGATGAATGTAAGTACATAGATCGTAATACAGTTCAGCCAACAATGTATTATACGTCAGACGTTGACGAATATGCGAAAAGGTAGAGTTGAATAACATTATTACAATTAAATAGCATATGAATAAATGTTTTTGTCTTTGATTATTTGATTTTAAAAACAGAAATGAAATCCATATAATGATTTCTCTTGTTAACTTAAGTATTTTGATTTGTAACTATATAACAGTAATAAAACACATAGAGCCAAGTAATCTCAAACTAAGCAGTACTTACACTATGGGTGATTGAAATACTTATATAATGTACATGAAAAATATACAGACCAAAAAAACATTCATGGCCATGGATACAAATGTTTGTAACGTGTAAAAATCACCCTGCAACTATAGGAAGTAAGGCAGTGTAAACACAGTAAACTACTAGACAACCGAGATCGTTATTCTACCTAGATACTTTTAATATGCATTAAATAAATAAAACTATAATTAACTTATCAAATTCTAAAAGAATATAAGTGCCTCTGTACGCAGCATAGTAATTGTATTAAGCAGAACGAACACAATCGTGTGTAGGAACGAGTATAAAAATAAATTAGGGCAGTTTTCTGTGGAGTCCAGCACAAATCACGACACAGATTGCGAGATAACTGTAGCTTTCTACCGTTTATAATCTAAGAGATACAACATTAATGTCTAGTTGCATTTGCCTGCTAGAATTACTTTTATACATCCTTGAGAGATTTTTTTATATTGTCTCATATAGAGAATTTCATTTCGAAAGATCAAAAGTTAAGAAATCTGTAAATATGTATATAAATAATAGAATATTCTCTATTTTAAATATTGTAATTCAAGTTTAAGTAAAATTAACTTCTCTAATAAAGGTATCCAAGTACATTTCTTTGGCATCTTCACTTTTTTGTATTGCTTCTTGAAAAAGAGCTAAGCAGGGTACTGGTCTCTTTCTCCACGGAATGAAAATAAACACAATTACCACACTGGCCACGTGTTTGTTTTTTATGATATATGTACATAGATAGAGGTTTATTTCACGATTGTGTTTTTTGTACTGATGTGATGTTACTTTTTTCTTCTAATCAACTCTTATGATATGCGTGATTGTATATGTTAAATGTCTGACATATATACATTGTTGGTTCTATTGTAGCCACCAATATTACTGAATATTAATAAAGTAGTTGGTAAAGATCAAGGCTGCTAATAACAGAATGAATGCCATTTTGACCAACATAAACTACGCTTATAGTTATATTCATAACTTCATCAGTGTATATTTTCATTTATATAATAAGCTTATCAGAGAGTAAAAAAACAATTGTATTGTCTAAAGTTATTTATTTCATGTATATATATAGATTTAAGAAGACAACGACGACTTTTAAGAAACTCGAACTAACCACAAACTGCGATAAAATTCCCAAAACTTGAATTATAACTCAAAATGCTTCAAGTCGTATAAATAATAATAAATAATATTTATTGGTTTTAAAATATACTTCCAATTTTCCCTAGTTCAATATATTTCTTATCGCCGAAATCAACGGCTTTTGCTACGTGAAATACTAAATACAGTGCGTGCGTTAACCCCAATATGATTACCCGATACAAAAATTCAAACAACTAACGTTTACACAATTTCATATATTGTAGAATGTATGTGGATATATAATTTACATAATCTCCAACCGGGTTCATTGCTTTTCGGCCTTTGGAATATATCCTTTTTGAATACTGTTTTAGAAGCCACACTGTTTTGACCTGTACCACTCTTTATATAATTAGGCCACAGTAGAGATTAATTTTAGGGTCGGGTCGGTGTGGTACTTGCTGTTATCAAGAAAATTAGTAAGTTTCTGATGTAAATTCAAAGCATCAAATATTCTCTTTCATTTTTCTGTACTAGCTTAAAATATTGATTAAATGATAAATACCCATATATTGTTTCTTTATATAAACAGTATTTTCTAATTAATTAGAAATCAGGTCTATTCTAGCAATAAAAGCAAAGAATCAGTTTCCTAGAATTGTAGTCAAGTTCGAATGTAATGTGAAAATTAATATGAAATTAAAATTACAGCACGAAGATCATAAAGAAAAAATCGCTTTTTTGTTGTGCTGGTTTTTCTTTTTCATTCTGATAACGTTAACACCTACATATATAAATTGGTTAAAACAATTTTATGTCTATGTAAACTACGAATATGTAGGTTATATAGCTTACTTGCTACCTACTAAATTAATCATTTCTAGCCAATCAGTTCACGTAACTTTTTTGGCTGTTTTTCATATAACTAATTTTATTATTGGTATTAATTTTCATGTTTTTTCTAGTTATATTAATACCTTTCATGCTTAATAAACTATCTAATTAGTAAAAAATATAGCAATTAATATATATCGTTACCGTTAAGTATTAAGGTAAAATCGATAGAAACATTTTAAATATGATTGTATTCAAGTCTATTTAAATATAGAATATTTGAATTATATGTTGTCTACCAATATAAAATATTGTTTTAAAGCTATGAGTTATGTGGTGCACATACAAAATTTGTAGGCTGGTCGAAAGTGGCAAAGCTGATTAAATTCGTAACATTTGTATATAAACTGTTTTACGGCTGGTTAAATTGGTCCGTTTTATACAGTATTTATCTTCGACTTAATTCTCTTTCCGCTTACATAACCACCATTCAAATTTATAGGAAAATTATAAAAGGAATATTGTGTAAATACTTAATATTCGAGAACTTGATCTATTTATTTTAGAAGATAAATTATAGACTTGGTTACACCAGGATTATACGTAATGTCGTTATGTTCAAAATCATTGTCGAAACATTATCATTTTCATTACATAATATCATTTTAAACTAAATTTATAGTCGAACAACAATACAAACATTTTTACCAAATTTTATTCTTATGCCAAAAAATATATATCTATGAAAATAATATAATATATATAAATTATATCTAAAAAATTTAGATAGAACTAGAAATAATTAATACACACCTATTTGTAACAGCTTACGATTGCTTGTGATTAAGCATGTAGCCTGAATGTTCATAATTTTTTATTTAATTAGAATAATAAAAGATCTGACACGGCACAAAATTGAAAGTGACAGCTGTCGCCTACATAGGCAATATATGTATGTACAGCTCTACAGATACCTCGTCGAGAAGTGATGCTCGTGAAACCTCTGGTACATTGCAATTAATAGGGACTAAAGTGTCATGACTCTGTACCCTAACTTCACTGTCATACATTCCTTTATCCCAGTTTCTGTCTCATCTTTTATACCTATAGTATTTTAAATTCTATAGTAGCAAGGACCTTATTGACAGTTCTAATTCTGTTTCTATATAGCTATATGTTAAGTTTCAGCTACAAGCCAATAACACTTGCAAAGGTCGCTAATGGATCACTCGCTTTTGAATAGTCTCTAACAAAACATTCCATAATGGATAGATAGGTACAGTCTATAACAAGCCTAACAGATTAAACAGTAATCTATGCAAACGTCAGAACAACATTTTACATCAACAACTTCGCCTCGGAACTACTTGGGAATATTGAGGGATGTACCGAGGAAAGGATTGGTGGTATCGGCTAAAGTTCCGCATGATTAATTCAGAAGGAAAGACGTTTTGAATATATAGAGATATTCCATTCCTATTTCGATATATATGACTAGGTTAGTTTATAGCTGCTTTAAAGTCAGTATATTCGATCACTTTGATGTTAATATACTAATAGGTGTAAAATAAAATGTATTGGAATCATAATTATTACGTAAACTGTTGACTTAATAAGGAAAAGCTTATTGGAAATTATATTTTTAATTATACATTTTTCATTATTGAATTTTTTGATTACGCAAATGTATTATATTATTTTACTCTAATTTTATAAATAGGAAAGATTTGTATAAGTATATTATTTAAATGATTAAACTCAAAATGTATGCAAAGCTAGGACGAGTAGCTAGTTTCCATACAAACCTATCTATTTATATAATAATATAATATTCGTGAACTGTAAGAACCAGCTGTAATGAAACATCTGTATAATTTATTTTATAGTTACCAGAAATCATAACGAATGATCGCTATTTAAATAAAACTGAAAACCTTTTATCTCCAGTTACCGTGGGAATAAAACATAACCCAAAATCATAAATTAGTAAGTTTTTAACTTCAAACATTGCGGATCTCCTGTATATACAAATTTTCATCTTATCCTTTATAGTGTAATTTACTTCATAGTATCCTTTTAGTAGCAAAATTGGCAAACTAACGTACATATTAATTTTTATGTGGGATATAATTATTAAATTATAGAATCAATTAAGAGTAGTAAGGTTTTCTCAGTGCATACTCATCAAAAAACTAATTACATGACATGTTTTTCAGGGTCTTAAGGTAATATATTTGTTGAATACAGTATGGTTCAATATATTGACTGTGCATATTACGCCAAGCGCAAAACGCGTATGCAGTGTTATAAAAATATCCTTAAAATTATGTGAGAACAGAATATGTATAATTTTTGTTTCATTCCCACGGGCTCGCACAGGATATTGACATACGAGTACGCTCCCTTGCGGACATACGGATGGATTGAACACTGCTTGTATGGCCAGAGTTCCGGTGTGTTTACGAGTATATACTATAGGGAAAATTTCTACAAAGTCCTTTGTATATATGGTCCTTCTATTCCCTAACTTTTGTATTTCATGTCTATAGATGATCTGCCATAAGATGGGTCCGCTTGTTTGCTACAGTAATCCTATTAAAAGTATAGGTAAACTACGAATGCAGGAATGCTCTCATACATACAGCATTATTTCGCCATAGTAGACGTGTACGAACTTCTCTGCGTAGGTACCTCTATATGACCTATTTCAACCGCCAAACAACTTGCATTATCAGATGGGTTTCGGTTGAAGCGTAAGACAGTGAGATAAGGTAGTAAAATTACAGCG